CCTGTCAGTAATGTGGAAAAGAAGAAGAAAGAAATGGCAAATTTCTTTTATCTATTATCTCAAGTAGCAGAGTTTTCTTTTAACTTCTTAACAATTTTACTAAGCATAAGTTACTTTCCATGTTGTCGTTCACCGACTAGGTAAACAATCTAGTAACTACTACTTAATTAACAACCCTCTACTTATCTACTTGGGTTGGTAGATGATCAACATAAAATTGAATTTTACCTTCACCAAATAATCATTTGCTCATTTTTAAGTTAGGTACCTTCAGATAGAACGTACGGTAACTACATGGTGCTGGATTGTAGAAAATTAGTGCATTACTCTGATATTAGACATAGGAGCTAAGCTTCTCAGACCTATAAAAGCGTACGCGCCGGTAGTTGTAAAACAGGTGAGGGACTAACCTACTAACGGATTCCGCGTCTGGTCAGGTTGCGAGAAAGTGAAAGGAGATAAACGCCTGAAACGGAAATTTTTTCTAATATTTTGAATGATGTCAACTCTTTTGAGACTCTTGTTCACCTAAAATCCTTGGCCACTGCAGGAGAAGACCCTGTTTTGATGAGAGGAATTGTCTTTTCAAGTAAGCGTACAGCATCCGACAAAATCGATGATCGAGGATTCAGTAAGTCAGAATCGTCCATTTGTGCAATATCGGCTTGCCTATGTACATGCCCCACGGAAGAAGGCTTGTCGCTATTGAAGCTTGCTATAGGTTTTACAGGGGCGTTAAAGGCTCCCAGATGGAATGTGCTTTCTTTGGACTCTCTGCGACTCTAGAAATGAAATTTGGTGCGAGAAAAATTCAAAGAATCGACTGCGGGATTAACTATTATGATAAATTATTGTACATTTTTCTCTATCATGTAGCGGGGATGCGAAGATCACATGTATAGTGTTTTGCCTATGATTAATAGAGCTCATGAACAATTATAAAACTTGAGAATGCTTCAAAACTATACGTAAGGCAAGTTACTATTTTTCCTAACCCTTTTTACCTGTTTTAGACAATGGTTATTATCATGAAAGTCAAGACTTTTAGTCATTCCAATTGATAAAATAATAATATATTAGTATTAAATTGACAATAACTGAAATGATTGTAATGCTCAGATTTGTGATTAGCGTAGATACATACAATAGCTGCCCGGACAATTATCATTCAAATAATTTATCGCAAGAGAGTTGAATGAATGAAATAACAGCTGGCTGACCTTGTCCGTAGCATCAAGTAATCCATCTCCCGGATAACTACTTTTTTGGTTGATTGGTTTTATTGGCTGCAGTTTTTGTTGTAGTGGAGAGAAAGGTTTTGCAGAGTTCTCCATAGGTGGTGTGTCGCTTCTTCGAATAATTGTGCTTGAAGGAATTTCTGAAACCATTTTTGGTAGTCAGCAAAGGAGGTTAAAGCTCTAAACTTTTTGAACAACTATGTAAGGCAGTGGAGAGGGAGTCTAATGGGTTCTAGTGATTCAGTCTTTTGTAGAAAGCTCCTTTCCAAAAGGCTAAATTGAGTCTTCTTCCCAAAACTTTTCCGCTCTTGTAGAAACTGACCAAGTTCTGAAACTTGACTGATTTCGTCCTTGTCCTTCTCAATTGGAAACGGTGCAGGAGTGTTGGCATGATTTTCCGTGGCCTCATGTTCCGGCTCAACATGAACAGTAGCGCCGTTGTTATGATGAACACCAATCTCCGCCGGAACTGGGTTGATTTGTGCAGGGATGGTCCCCTGCTTGAACACATCTTCAAGCGTTCTTCTGTATTCGCGAGGTAGAGCGCCAACAGTGTTCGTAAAACCCATCACTTTCTCATTGCCGCTCAATGAATTGTTGAGCAAAATTTGTGCAACATCGTCCACTGTCTGAAATCTCATCTATTACTTTTTTTGTGGATGATTCAGGATGTTTGTGTTATTAGATTATTCAGTTAGTTGTCGTTTTTAAAAGAAGAATATTGATCAGGTACTTAACTTTTTCAGTTAGTTGATTAGCAGTACCATGGAGTTTGGAGCACAAGACTCAGGTTTTCGGGTATAAATATAAATTTTTAAAATAAGGATTTTTGGATGTAATACCTTTCCAAGGTTGGTCGGCATTCTTTTTCGAAATTGTTCAAGCCATTTTTTCTTCTCTTCATTTACTAGTAATCCCAGCTTTCGAATTTCTTCCATTGCTCGTGAAGGGAACGTTCCTTTCTCAAGAAGAAATACAGATATTTCTGCGAGCTTTTGCATCCTCGATTTATTGCTGTAAATATTTTTCGGATAAACTAATTATGGGCATATGTTTAGAGCTTATTTTATTCTTATTACCATGAGAAAAGAATAGCCTCAACATGGGCCAATCTCATCGGGTCATTAATGTGAGCCTGCACAATTCCAAGAGCAGACGAAGCAAATTCCAAATCACAATCGGGAGTAATCTGCAAAGTATAAAAAACGTGTGTAGATACCAAAAGAGAAGTTTCATAAAAAATACCTGGGTTTGAACTTGATAACCCCATGAGATGAGAACAACCAGACCCAATGTGTAAACGATTCTCATGATATACCAATAAAAACCATGTATGTATGTTGTAAAAGTCCTATAAGATAGTAGCGTATTCATTTAGAAGTAGCTCCTCAAACAGCCAAACATCAAAACAACCGTTGGACATTAAAAAATTCCAAATTTGAAAGCAATCAAATCATT